TACAATCAAATAATCCAGATATTGAGAAGGTAAGAAACTACGTTGCTTTTTAATGTGACGTTAATATTCATACAGCATGAATAAATTTTACGGATTTCACGGAGATGAAATCGAAGATTCTTTGTTCAAATGTAAACACTAAGACATAATGTGAGTTACATATCAAAGGGAGGATATGATCAGAGGGCTCCCTCAAATATACCTCTTGATAAATATAGTGGTAGAAATGTAAATTAGACGACTGTCTCGTCTGAAGGGACACAAGTATTTGTCTCTTGAAGCTAAGGGGCGGCCGATGCAAAAAGCCTAACAGGGGTGTTAGTACAAGTACTTTTATATAAATAAAATACATGACGCTAATATACGAGCATTGTCTAGACTTCGGATGCGTAACTTTTATGGGTTTCTGGTGACGTTTTTACGACATAAGTTTTAACGAATTAAACAACATTCGTTTACAGAAAATATTATGTCACTAAATAGACTGTTTTGTTTTTCTCCAACAAAATTATAACTTATTGTATAACTCACAATTTATCATACCTCTGAAATATAACGTAATAAACTAAAAAGTTATCAGACACCAACCCCAATACTTATAATTAATAAAAAGTAAAAAACCATAGTTAAATTCAGCGTACTGTTAATGGCTCGGGTCCCACGACTTAACCCGTCTGCGATTTTAAAAATCAGGTGGGGGTGCTACCCCCAGAAGGGTTGCGAATGAGGGGACAAAACAGAAGAAAACTGTTATTAAAACGCTCGACATTACAGACTAGATATTTTTGTTTTTAAGCACCGTTTAACGGTACTTAGATGTCCGTCTTGTTTCTTTTTGCATCAGGTAGATTTTAATCTTGAAAATTACTGCGACGGTTTGCAGAACAATAATTAATAGCCCTTAGTTTTAACGCAATATAATTGTAAAAGTATCTATTTCTCATATTATTATCATGAGAACTACATTATTAATATAATTTATTGATATATATTGGTACTGGACTGATAAATGTAAAAAAATCTACACCGTGTTAGAGTATTTTTAAATAAGTAAATACTTTATCCAAACTTTCCGAGTTTTAATAAATATAAAAAACATATTTCTTAGTCATTTAACAAAAGAAGTACGAAATTAACTATAAATTAAACATAATATTATCTATTTATTAATTTCGAGTCGATACTTTAGCTTGGGTTATTTTTAATTTCGTTTCTAGGAAACTGATGCAGGATTAACCAATATGTAGTATTGGCTAGGTACTGGACAAGTCCACCTCCATAAAGTATCTTCCCTTAAGATTCAGCTCAACAATTAAGCTACAAATCCAAGTGATCGTTTAATGAGTTGAAAGCGAAGTGCGAAACAAATGGTAGCGCTAATATCCCCGGCCAATACGCTGGCGTAATTTAATCCCGGCCCGGCGGGGCATCAGGAAAATCTATAAATCTGCCGCCATTAAACCGAAGGACTCCCCAGGACTCTTATTTACTTCGGGCACAAATTCAGATGACAATGTTTTAGGGGAAGGAGCTGTGTAACTGCCCGTGTTGTAGGGCTGTCTACTGATATGAAACTTAGTGAAAAAAATGCGTTATTAATTTATAAAAATAAATTAATATTTAAATATAGAAGGGTGAACAGGAGGAATTTTCATCATATGTGTGATACAATTAAACTAAAAAATATTACACGTCGAATTAATAACCTCTTTCGATTGTTTTAAACCGGTTAAAATAACCATTGTTTTAAAAATACTTGGATCGTATCAATTTGTAAAAAAATTATAATGTCAATACTCTGGTGATTTCATCTGGACTATCTATATTTATATAGTTATTTAAACAATAACAAAGAAACACTCTAAATTTATAAATTTATTCACATTAAAAAAATAGAAAACAATACTAAAACGTATTTCCTATCATCCTCTTATAAAACAAATGTAAATCACACACATAAAACCAATAACACGATATAATAGCACTCAGTTTATTAAATTATCGTGTTTGTCAACCCTAAATAATTCTCCTCACCCCCGTCAATTACCAACCCTGACCGAGGCGAGACTTATTGACGGACTTCGCTGCGATCTCTTTGTCTCGCCGTACGAGTCATTGCACAAACATTCTTTATTTTAACCACTTTAGCGAATATTTTTGTAAATGAAAGTGTTGTATGACCGATACAGCCTGTAACTATACATTACCAATTCCCGATTGAGTACGACCACATCTCTGCGTTTTCTCTGCTTCGTAAGCGGATAGGCTGGTCACCTATTCGTCTTCGGCGTGATGCTCTTCTTCTTGCCTCAAGAAAGATTTTAAATTGATGGGAGCTCATATCTTACGCTCTCTTTATTGCTTTGTTTTGTTCCATACTTTAAGTCTAACTCATTGTATATCTTATGTAGTTTTGCACTTCTTGCGCACACCTTATTTTTTTTTCCCTTACACTGGTTGACTGGAAGAGATCGCTTAAAAGCGATAAGGCCAATCTAAGATCCGGGATTTATATAGGAAAACCTTCGTTAGTTAGTTAAAAAAAAGTTAATTTTTTTTTTTGGATTTCACCATTCTCCGTATCGTCGAAGCAGTTTTTTTGGTATTGCTTTGGAACTTGCTCCTGATCTGCAAACGTTTTTCTACGGACTAATAAAGATTACACAGTACAGAGTATATAGTAATAAAATTTAATTTGTAATGAGCAGGTAATACATAAATATACTTCTGATAATGCAATAAACAGTAATATTATTGTCTCATCATAAGAATAAGTTAGCAAAAAAAATCTCAACTTAAACGATAATTAGCTAATAATAGATGGATTCTCGAGAGCATTTTTATAGGTTTAGTTAATATAAATAAAGGAATTGTCTTTGTTTTACGAGAGTTTAAATTAAAAAATTATATGTCTCGGCTACGGATCCTAAAAATACGAAGAATACATTAAGTAAAAAGCGAATGGATAAGACGAAAGCCAAATGTTATAGATAGTCTTGCATTATTCCCTAAAACAGAAGTGGCAGTGAGCGGGGCAAATAGCAAGAGGCACATATAAAAGGTGGACAGGTATCCTGTCCATGGAATGGACCAAGGGGAAGAAGGAGAAGAGGGTGCCCTAAAAAGAGGTAGAAGACGTTAGCGTTAGCAGGAAGCGAAAATGGAGTTGTAATAATAATAAACTGGCTTTATTATTATTATTATTATTACGTGTCTCGGTATGGCGTCTCTCGTTAACCAAGAGTTCTTAATCGAAACTTCAAAGTGATATTCGTCTAATTTAATGAAGTGTTATTTAAAAACTGTGTTTTAACACTATAAAAATCGATTTCAAAGAAGAATGACGATACAAAAAGAAAATGTAACTAAAGATCGAAGTGACGTCGATCACCCCTTATGAGGGTGACGAGGGGATGGCATAATTCCGCGAATGATACGCCAAAAGCTCAATCGAAACGATATATTGCGCTGATACGCACTATGGCGGACTGTAATCCAGTTACCTTCCTAACAGATTATTTGCGCAGAACCATGACTAAAATATAATCTGTTATTAATTGTTTACTCACGTATCAAATGGTTACTTTAAACTTAAATGGGTTTGACACTGTCAACTTTTAGATAAAAAAGAAAAAATAATTTCTTATACTTAATATTGTTCTACAATACATTTAACTTTTGGCTATGCAAGCAAATCTTAGGAATAGCTAGCGCTGAGTTTTAGGCAGGCCTGGTTTCACTTCCCCCATATCATACAGTCTCTAAAATGATTAACGCAGCACCTGTGAAAAGCCCAGTTATCAATATCTAATTTTGGATTTGCAACACTCTAAGCTGCAAACAAACCATGCCATATATATAAATAAATATAGATTTATTAAATCAGCAAAATGTACGTAAAATGTAGCATATCTGCGCAACTTCTTCTTTGAGAGTATGCCTTTTATATCTTGTTTGAATATTGTATTGGGAAATCGCCCCAACCTTTACCGTGAATCATGTTAGGACACATGATGTGTTTTCGTGTTGTCTTCGTTTTTCAATATCAGTTGCAATGTTAAATGACAGTCAAATAAAATCAAATTGCATGGATGCATTATCCATGATTAATTACAAATCTGAGCTACATAATATTCCTCTCCATTTAATAGTCATTTGAAATCAGCCTTGTGCCTAGTTAACCAAACAATTTCCCGAGAATCAAGCTCAGGGCCTCATTAACATTAACTATGTCACGGAAAGATTCCTTTCTGTATAAAATTTTGCGAACTGATTCTGAATTAAAATTCAATTAAAACAACATGCATTATTATTGATTATTAACAGCGTTCTGTACGCGTCGCTATGTTAACGGTTATAGATCATCAATATTTCATATGAGCGGGTAATATCGGTTTAAACTGGCCGAGTCGTTATTGCACATTTGAACTTTATGGGGAGCCACCCTATACATAAATTTGGTGAAGTGCATTGGTTTTATGAAAAGTTAAAATGTATCAACGTATTGATTTTGCGAGGTTTGATATACAGGTACGTTGTAAAAACAGAACATTGGACAGAGAAAAACTAAGTTATACAGTAAAGGTACCACAGGGAACAAACTTTTAAAATATGTTTTAATTTCCTTTTTAGTAATTTTTAGTTAATTTTATTATTACTATGTAGGTTAAGAAAATTGTCAATACTGTATATGTGATTGTTACGTTTAGGTTTTAATAAACGATGTTCCCTTAATTAAAAAAAATACACAGTTGTACAACCATCGTTTATAAAATGTGATAAGCGTGATAACAATTTCCAGTACATTAAAAGCCATTACTATATCAAAAAAATAACTGAGGATAATTGCCAAAGTGATTTTTTATATAAATAATAGATTTCACAAACATTTAGCACGTTTAAACAAACCCAAAGAACGGTTCAATTTGGAGCATTTTTTTTTATATATATGTTTATATAACTATTTTCGTGGTTGTTTTTGTATTGATATAATATTCATATCAATCACATTCGAAATCGTACCTTATCTGAGCATTCAACCAGTTCATATAAATGTGCATAGTACGAACAGTTAGCACGCATGGCTGGATGTTATGATTGCATTTTATTGATTCATCAAGGGCGTAGGTACATAGTGCACATGTTTTGTACCTAACCCATATGGCAAGCTGTAAAGGGCTCGTCACAATCATCTCGCCGTCCACGACTCCCCTTTCAATCTTCATAGTAATAAATAAAGGGGCAATAAAGGGAGACGGTTTGTCGTAAGCGACCTCAATACGACAGTTTTCATACTTTTCCTGTTCACTTGGGGTCATATTTAGTGGAATTTCATGGAAAGTTTCTTGGCTATTTTATACTTCGGTTAAGATTTAATCATTTTTCTATTTATATATTTAAAAACATTCTAAAAATACAAATCGTTTAACACGATCGTACGTAGTTTTAGATTCCAGAAACTATTATTCTAAAAAAAAACAAGGATACAATCGAATAATACGAGAACAATAAGATTACAGTATCCTCATAGAGTAATTAATAGTATTGAGAAATCAAGTACACGAACGTACGCGCAACAGATGAGGTGACAGATTGCCAACGTCCAGCGGCCTTGAGGCTTCCACTTCAACTCACATGCCACATCACGCAACTATAATTATGCCTATTCAACGGTTTTATGGCGTATTATTTCATATTACATGCTATGTAAATCTTTTCACAATATGCTCCTTTTTAATCGAAAATATATGCGATATGTCTTATGAAGACTATACTACGAGGACATATATATCAGTGCAGCAGATAGTGTTGGCCTAGTGGCTTCAGCGTACGACTCTCATCCCTAGGTTGTAGGTTCGATCCCCCGGCTGAGCACCAATTGACTTTCTTTCTATGTGCGCATTTAACATTCGCTCGAACAGTGAAGGAAAACATCGTGAGGAAACATTTTTTTTTAAATGTATATATCAGTAACCATAAAAAGGAAACAATCAACAGCTGTTTGCGAAAATAAAAATTGAAATCTCTTATTTATTATAGACCTATGTACTTTGTTTAATATTTATGGAAGGAAATCGAGGAGTATATTTATGGTTCCATATAAAAAAATGTTTTTGCTTATCAACCAGTAAAATATTATATCACCGGGTAACGAAATTAGGACTAGGGGGTCAGATCCCTAATCACTTAATAAATTAATAGGTTTTACAGTCAATAACGGCCTTAAATTACATTACATATTTAACGTTATTAAAAGGAAAATAATATATGTAATTGTCATATAGAAGTACTACTAAATACGCAGAAGTCTAAATCAGCTAAATTATTCATACAGGTTTTAGAAAACTAACACAGCCTTCGCAGTAAAACCACAATCGATAAATACTTAGCAGACCTATTTAGTATTGACGAACGTTTACCATTTTCTACGAAATCAAAGTATAAATCATCATACTATACCAACATATTAAAATATGGAAAAAGTATTATGCCAAATAAAGTACTCTGGATATACTCTGAAGCGTGTCTGCGTATCCACCCTCGAAAAAGACAGATATTATGTAAAAACCTAACGGTAGTCACTACAATCAATACTAGATGATTTAAAAGCTTCCTCCTTCAAAGCTCAACCGATATTGTACCGTATAAAAGCTACATAAAGCTCACATGATCACAGCGCTATCTCGAGACTGCGAACAACAAGTATCCTGTTAAACAATATTCAATCTTATTTCTTAACAAAGAACCTTCACAAAATCCGAAGAGGGTCCACGGAAGAGTTAGGTTTTTGTGAGTATAAAAATATGAACCCCCTTTTAGAGAGCCATTGTATTCGTTATTGATCCTCATAATAGTTTGAGTCGCCTGGGCCTCTCTTCATAAAGGGGATAATATTATTAATGTGTTCATTTTGATTTATTACGTCTAATTTATAGCAAATTGATGTTATTTAGATGTATAGATGCGCTGTTAAATCTTGTTTATCACGATTTATATTTTAGGCAATGTTTTATCTGTTATAATTTTTAAAACAGTTCTTGTTAATAGGTGAGCAGTGTTGGCCTAGTGGCTTCAGCGGGTGACTCTCATCCTTGAGGTCGTAGGTTCGATCCCGGCTGTGCACCAATACTTACATTGTATTATATGTGCGCATTTAACATTCGCTCGAACGGTAAAGGAAAACATCGTGAGGCTGGAGGAAATCTGAAGCCCAGACCTAAAAAGGTTGAAGCGGCACTACTTTCTTGTTAATACCTACCTTAATTATTTTCAACATAGGAAACTAAACATTTATGTTACTAAATCCATTTTAAAACTAGAATTTTAACAGCCTAATACACATACGTTGAAGCTCATGTCCAATTATGAGAAATCTTTGTAATTATTTAATTAAGTAATTAAACAATGGAATAAAATCAATAAACAAAATGACGAACTTTTATAAACGATATAGAAGTTGAACAAAATAGATTTTTCCAATTCTAGCAAAAGTATTATGACTAAATTTAGTTTTGTAGCATATCAATAATACTATACGATTCCTAATAGATAGCGTTAATTCTTGCGTATAAAGTAAAGTCACACGATAACTACACAAAAGCAAGTAGTGGAAAGTACAATAAAAATAATATTCACATAATAACGGACACTTTTTACAACGTTCGTGAAACGATAACAATAAGTACAAACAGATTAACATCATTTAGCAAAGTATTAAGAAACATAAACACTCTTTTGAGATTAGATTGTATCACGAGTGTAACAATAATTTGAAGTTAATTGAGCCACAAGCTTAAATGAACAATTTGTATGACGAATATATTAATGTTTATTATAATTAATATTTACAATGTTAAGATTCAAGTTACGTAGACATTATAACTATGTTATGAAGTACATGGCACACTGTACTCGGACAATAACTAATAAAATTTGCGTAAATTAAAAGAAAATATTTTTGTATATATCACTTGACTTATCTTATGTGAGAACCAGTCTCACACATAAATTAAAAGTTAAATTATAGCCGAAAGCAATCAGTGATTTTAAGTTATTATTGAATTTCAAATGCATTAAGTATTGAAATATTATTGTAATAAAAGTATGATAAAATTGAAGTGAATATTGCCACAAGGTAGCTTAGTGGTTAAGTCTGAGATTCCTTGAGGTCAAAGGTTCAAACGGATTTTGCAGCAATTTGTCTTTCTATGTGTGCAATTAACATTTATTATTAGAATAGATTGTCAGGCACAAGGCAGATCCGAAATATATCAACCTATGACGCACTATAGATCATCTATTAATACAGAAAAGAATCATAGATTAATGATACAGAGTCTGAGGCCAATACCCATTCAGGGTTGTAGCGCCACTTATTATTAACTGTTCTACAAGAGTGGTGTTGCAAAAAATAAGCGCTACGGGATTGAACTAATGCGAGCTACGAGCCCGTAAGCTACGTTACGTAAGTCGCGTAACGGGCCGGTCAACGACCCCACTGACCTGCGCGCGCGCCTGTCGTCGCCATACTAGGCCACCCATAGACTATGCAACAGATCAACTTCAGAGTTCTACTACAGTGCTTTTTGAAGGTACAATAGCACAGATTAATAAGTAATTGCTGACAAACAAAAGTATGTACTACAGTTTTTAATTTTACAGTTCTACTGTACTAAGCTATTAATAAATGCACGCATTGCTTTTAATATTCATTGTATTAAAAAAAATACATATGCTGTTTTCAACTACAGTATCAATTGAATGTTTATATCTTTAGAATTTGTTTATTATAAAAACTAAAACGATGTTGTGTCTCTTTCTATTACAGCATAAGTATTAGGTATTTGACAAAAAGAGACTATAATTACAGCTTATGGTGTTGTCTTTAAGGATATGTTTATGAATAAAACTTTACGTAGCTTAAATATGTGTAATTTGCAGCTTAAAGCATTCGTCCATACTATGGCGTATCTATTAAGCAAATATTCTGTGTAGAACGTGGTTTAGCCTCGTTAAGAGATCTCCCCGCACACCACGGGACACCAAAGATCGTGACGTTTATGGCTTTTATTGCGGCCATTGTTGATAACTTCTGAGTAATTGGATATTAATATTATGTGAACCAAGTATGAGCTTAGTGTGTTGTCTCAAAACTGATATTGATAGAAGTGGATTTCAATTCACGAATTAATTAACACGATGTAAGGTGGACATAATAATTCATATTTTAGATGAAATAGTGAAATAACTATAATATTATCAGACATTAAAACCCGACGGAGTAGGTAAGAAAACGACAGATCGAAAAATTCGACTAATATGAAAAGAACCACAGATTAAACATACAAAATCTGAGGCCAAACCCAGCGTTTTACCGCCTCTTAATATTATAATTTGTTCTACAAAAAAGTTGCTTTGAACAATATATGCTAAAAATACTCTACAAATTAAAAACCTACTCCGTTTTATAAACAACAGATTATTTAAATAGTTATATTAATAAATTATCCAAAAGATATACGTACGTCGTGATGTCCGCAGGTCTTTCCTACGGTTAAGGTTTTAAACTTATTTGAATGAGCTAACGGTATACGATAGTAAGCTTTAAGCGAACCTTTAACAGTAATATTGTTGTTTTTACCGAGCAACGGTGACAGTTAACCGTAACCACGTAAGCAAACTTCGAAATATTGTATGTAGATTTAAAATCTGATACTGAACTGTAATAGTAAGACAATTTAACAGAACACTCTGTCCTGTCGTTTCTAGTGCTTGCAAAGCATCAGGAAATAAATCTAAATTATTTGAACTAATCCTGCGTATTTATAAAATGCACAAAGTGCTGTAAAACTTATAAATACATCAGTTATATAATTCATGCCAATAGCGCCGTAGTCTAGATAAAATTGGTCATCGTAACTTTTATTATAAAACTATTAAATGAACGCGTATTTAAAAATACAAAACAATTTCTTAAGGAATTGAAAGTAGGGAAAGTTAAAATTATTTCCTCGCACAGATAATACAATGTTTATCATAAGGAAATAAGTACAATGTGTATAATCCGTGTCACAGATCGCGAAAGTTCACAAAGACCAGTTCCTAGTTGTGAATAGAGATGGCGCCACTTCACGCTTTCACAACTTAACACTTCTTTTGTAATGCTATTATCACGTCGTTAATGTTATTTCTGTAATTGATTATTATTACTCTTTCTAACTAGTTTAATGTATTTAGTTTTAAATAACTATAAATTACATGCAAGCAATATAAAATTCCTAGGTATACGAGGTTATATATATTTGGCGTATAATAAAGC